TATGGCACTATTGGGAGATGGCACTATATAAAGGAGGCCCAAATACATATATTTGGGGACAAAGCACACTGCTAACACAAACACAACAAAGCCTGTATAACACAACTGAATATCTTCATCCTTTGAGTACTGAACCATGCCGGATGATACACGTGTGAGCTTATGATAACCTGTGCCAGAGGGTGAGCCATAGCACTATATAGAGGGAAGCACTACTAAAGTAGGCACTATTGAGCGACCCCCCCCCCTGTACAGTAAAAGGGTGTGCCCCCGGGCTAGGAGACAGGTGGAGTGGGATGTGCTCAGTACGTGTAGTAACGATATCGGACAGAGCTGTAAGGAAAGGAACGTAGGGGAGATCGTAGAAAGGATGAGCGTTAGCGATATCCAACAGCAGTTGCAGACAGTTGATGTTCACTTCAACAAGGTTGAATGACAGTGATGTACAGTGGTCCTTACGCATTAGTGCCGCATTTGTTTGTGCTACCCTCCCAATAGTGCAGCCCCAGACGCCCGAACACGAAAAGCGCCACGTGTCATACGGTTCCGGCTGTTTCGCTACCGTCCGTATGTGTCTGTGGTGCAGGAACGATACCCTTCGTTTACTCTCTGAGGGCCGTGATCCGGCTCCCCCTACACTAAGTACTTCCCGTCGTAGGTGACACGACATCCATGTGTGCTGTGTACTACGTGTGTACGTGTATAGGTATTATCACAGTGTCAAATATGTAAAAGCTACCTCTCGAGAGGTAGTCCGATCCTCTCTCCCTACGCCACCGAACACTGTTCACCGATCTTAGCTTGTGCCCCTTATGACTCCCGTTCCGGCAAAAAAAGAAAAAGCCAAGCGCAAGCACCTGACGATTTCGCAGAAGCTCGAAATCGCAGATCTCCTCCACAATGGACACCGTACACCAGCAGTTATGCGACAGTTCGGCATTGCAGAGCGCACTGTACGCAAAATTAAAGCAACTACGCCATGGATGTTTTGGAGAGGATTCGCGTGGTGCAGAATTCACTCGAAATGCAATCGAGTGATGAAGATGAGAGCGCAGAAAATGCAGTAGAGAGAAAGACTTATACTCCATGTCGTCGGGATCGCGAAATTGTTTGGAGAGCTGCAACTTTTGGCGACTGAGTGCCAAGTTCCAGACGCTCTATCGCCATCATAAGTCGGCAAAGCGCGCATTTCCCACTGCGAAATGCAACAGAGAACCAACGCCGAGCAGACAGACGTTAATTAGGGTGACCCCACCGCGCCTTGCCCAAAGTCACAAAATGCAGACAACTGTAGTCACGTGATTGGATCTACTATATTTTAGTCGAGCCACGCTTTGGACGATGTGGTGATTCAGCAGTGAACCCCACCGCGCGTTTAGCATCACACTTCTATAATGTTTTGGGTCACCCTAACTACTACAAGTCCGACATAGAAATAAGTTGTGAGATTGAACGCTCTGTTGAGGGGGCACTTTTATACTACGAACGAGCATACAAGCTCGGAATGGAAAAGTTACGGGGGAACATCTATACATGTTATGCTAATGCCTCTAGCAATGAGAATATTGCGAAAGGCGAGTTGGGATTTCTACAGGCTATGTACATCAAGGGTCATAGGAACGTAGCGAAACGCCTTGCGTATGTGTATTACTATGGCTGTGGGATTTCAGTGTATCCAGCAATTCTCTGTGCTTGTGCGGGGACTACGTCAAGCTCCATAAAGACTCGAGCGGCGACAACATTTGCCCTCTCATCCCTATACCCCTGGACCGCTTCCTATTAAGTTCGTATTAAAAGATTAGGGCTGGCCAAGTCTTCCTCCTCGTCTGTCTCCTGTTCGAATGTGTCATCCGGATGATTATCCAGAGCGCCTGCTTTGACCTTACCCTAGGCCTTTCCCAACCGAATTTCCCCATCGTCTTCAGCACCATGCAAAATCTCAAAACGGCGGCTCGAAAAGTGAGTGAGAGCTACTTTTTTGGCATGCATCTCTCTTCCAAACTTACCAGCCATTCGAGCAGTGCTGTGCATCGATAACCTCGCTTTCCCTTTCAGACCTTCCGTGAACGTCGAGAGCCGTCGCGTCGAAAGCCGTGCGTCATGCACCAGTCGCATCGAATGAGCTGATCGTCAGTGGTCTCCCCGGCATCCACAAGAAACATGGACGGCCCCTCGCTACCTTCCGCCGCGGCATTCGGCTTCATTACCATAGCCGTTGACGACACGTTTCGCGTCCTGGTCGGAACCGCAGATGACATGCCCAGATGAACCACTCCCCAACCACCTGGCTTCATGTTCAGGTCCTTGCGCCGATGCGCAGCCATATCTATTGGCGGGAGATCTGGCATCGTAAAATCCATAGACACGCCCTCGTCATCCATTCCATCCTCCTCCTCCCCCGCATCCACCTGCGTTTCCGTCGGTACAAGCGTGGTATGCATCTCCCCCTCGACCGCCTCCCCTACAAAAAGAAGGATCACTCTCAGGACTGGGGCTTCTCGACCTCATGTCCTCTTCCTCGGACGTCGGCACCCACATTTCCCTGTCATGGTCGTCCTGCACAGCGGCCGCATACGTCACGGCCTTCCCGTGGCGATCCAGCGGCTGCGTCGGGGGCTCGAGGTCTTCCTGTTTGTGGCACGATTTGGCGCGAAACGTGACCTCTCTTCCGCGGAAGTCCAGCCAGTACGCGTCGCGGTCATGGCGCCAACCGTCGAAGCTGGACACTTCGGAAGGTGTGGGCGCCAAGGGCGGGATGCATGGAATTTGAGGATGTGCTCGCGCAGCATGCGTTCGCGCTCGCGGCGCTCGGAGCGGGATAGGGCGGTGCAAATTCAGCGGCAGGCTCGATGGGGGGCTTTGGCGGGGGATCGGTCGCGGCGAGACGGAAAGCGACGGCCGGGCCAGAGAGGTTTGGAAGCCGGAGGCGGCGTGCGTCCGATATTGCGGTGGCGTGCATCCCCGGGGCGCGACTGATTGGGGCAGTGGGGCTGAGGGGGCGTCGGAGAGGGAGAGAGTGGCGAGCCCGTTTGCGGGGACGTGTGGCGCGGTAGCGGCGGAAGAGGCTACGCCGGGCGGGAGCGGGCGCATCGGACGTGGGTACAGTTGGTGTGAGGAGGCTGTTTCTGTTGTTTTCGTGGTTGGCGGCGGCGATAGGGGGCGTAGACAGCGGCGTGAGGGTGCTGATGGTTTGCAACAGATGTCTTGTTGGCGCGAAAGCTTACCATTGCCATGTTGGGAAGGTTCTGTTTTGGGGAACGTGCAGATGAGTTTCTTCGGTAGCTCGCTGTTCGGACCTAATGAAGGGGGGAAGTTGGCGGAGAGTTGCGGGTGATATTCTACCCAACGCGCCCCTCGCTACCTACTTCTCTGCCTGCACCGCCCAGCTCGCCGATTCTGCTCTGGCCGCCACTGTTGACGCCGCCGCTACAGACGCCGCCGCTACAGACACCACCTCCAATGACATCCAGCAGCACACTCCTCCTGCGTCCGTGTACCCTCTCGCAGCCACACACCCCCCTCCTCTTGGCGACCTGGCCCCGCCTCAAGAGTCTCCACCCGTCCTCACTCCGCCCCAGGAGGTAAACTCAGTCAGCCCCCCGGACGAGATGGCGCCCGCACCGTTACCTTCCTCTACTGTACGTGCGGATGGCCACAATCCCGCTTTATCCCCCAAGGCTGCGGAGACACTCCACAAACGCGCCCCTAACGTAAACTCTCATCCCTCCGCGCCTCCCTCCCATCACCTACCCCCCTCTCTGCGATGCGTCTGTGTGGTACAAGTTTGGGGTAGACTCGCTGTGCCTGAAAGTATACGGACATTCACGAATAGCAACACTTATAGTACCCGAAACCGGTACGAGCTGCTGAACAGTTTGTGCTAAGCAGTCGTGTTAAACGCGACCACCCGATATCCTTCACCGGGCGTACCTCATTTCCGTCGAGCATCTGGATTACCTCCATCGCCAGCCGGACCCCAGCGCGGCATCTGCGCCATCGGCTCTTCTTCAACAGCCCTCATGCTGACAAAAGCCAGGTCACCACCCATTCTGTCACCAGCTCCCCCCTGCTCCGAACAGGTACACACGGTCGTGCGCATTCGTGTGCCCCGCCTTTGCGCCGCGCTTGAGCGTGGCAGAGCAAGAAAAGTCCAGCCCCGATTATAGTTCCTCCTTTTCTCTAAAACTACTGGTGCTGCGGCGTTAGCACCTCCCCCCGTCGCGTAGCCGCGCCCCCACGACATCCTGCCACTGACTTTGTTTCTAGTCGATGTTGCAGTCTCCCTCGCGCGCCGACTTCGAAATGTTTCACAATTTCCACCGGCCCGCTCGCTGACGCCACGGACGCGATGTACTCGCCCTCCGCCGCACCGTACCGCGCCGGTCATGCCCCTGGGCTCGTCCAGCTCCGTGCCCAATGCCCACCTCGTCGGCAGAGCTGCCTTCAGTGAGGACCCCGCGCGCCGCAGCCCTCTTCACGGCGACCACCTTCTTGCCCATGCGCGAGTGGCCCATGGCCCGCGCGAGGCCACGTGAGAGGCGCAGTTGTGCCAGAGTGCAGGGTTGAGGGAGACGCGCTGCAGACGGGGAGGAGCGCGTCGGGACACTTGTGGTGCGCGGCGAAACGTGCCGAGGAAGGGAGCGGGTTTGGAGCGCCGATGATGCATGAAACAATCATGCCTTCAGCAATGCTTCCGAATGGCCAGCACGGGTTTTGTGCTAATGGCCAATTCGTGTAGCGCCCTTGGGCGATACGAAGAGCCTCAAGTCCAATTTTCCAACAGGTTTGTTCAGTTACGGTATCACCGTAACACTGTTAACTGCAGTAGCGCCTTCCCCGCTCTCATCAAGTAATAGTCAGTTGTTCAAGTTTGGTGTTGTCCAAAACACAAAAGTTGAACAGTGATCTAATGCGGTGCGGAATGGCCATCCGTTGTTGCGCTTGTGCTGCCATGGGGCACGTTTTCGTATCATCGATGCAAGGGGAATCGCCATACGTACCACACCATGTGCACCATTCACATACATTTACAAGACGCATTGAGATGAGGATGGCGAAACTAGCTAGACCGTATAAACAGACTTTGATTGCCCCCTCCTTAAGCGTGGCATCGAGTGAACCAAGCTTAAGTCAGGTGCTTGGACAGGCTTGTCATTTTCCCCAAGTGTTCCTAGGTGGAGTTCCCCGTTCGACCATTCTGGCTCAAATATTCCGATATCCAGAGGGCGTCGGCTTGCCAACTTGCAATCTATGGGCGCTTGGAGGAGCTCGTTCTGTGTGCGCACCAACGAAGTGACGACGTTGATGTCTAGTTCGTTTCTAAGAAAGAGGCAAAGTAAAAGAAAAAACATCAAAAGCATGGCGTAGCCGGCGGCAGAGGCAATGAACCACACATTTATCGCCGCTCGTGCTGTCTTCCGCACCTCATATCCCATCCCGATCTTCGGAGACAAGCTTCTGTCTAGGGGGAGCACTGGGAAACTCTTGACACTTGATGCTTCCTCAGCAGCATTCGATGAGAAAATTTGAGGCCTCGATCCAGTGACTCGTAGGCTCCTAACCGGCAAAGTCTTGTAGAGAGACATGTAGACCATCGTGTCTTTTGCTTCTTCCAAAAATTCGCGAGCAAATCGTGTCAAGTTTACCCTCCCACCCATACGAAATTCAGTTTCTTGAACATAGGATGCCGCCCATCCTTGGATGATTTGATATGTTTCGTTCTCAAAAGTCAGCCGACACGAACACACGACGTGACCCATGGCGCATTCTCCCCGATCAGTAATGTACACATGCACGAGTTCAGAAATGGATCCGGCAGTGACTGATACGCTACCATGCCATTCCACGTTCTTGAACTGCAATTTTTCACGAGGCAAACCAAATTCGATCTTCGTGTTTCCTACTCTGCTCTGCCGAACCGGCAACCGCTCCATCTGCAGTTCAGCTCCCTGAGGAGCTTGGTGTAGGAGGTCCGGTTCTACGTTCATCCAAACATTTTCGGAACCGGCAAGCGAACGAAAGATCAAGTGTTGAATATCTGCCCAGCCCCGAATAACGAAATTACCGGCGTGCAAACCACCATTACGGTGGCTCCCAATCCGTACGGGAATTTCCTCTATTATTTTTCTTCCTGTCTTGTTTAGGCCTATCACAGCATTCCATTTTGCTCCAAGTGCCAGATCAGAAAGGGCAGAAAGGAATTTGGGGACCTCGGTGTGGTTTTCCAATTGCCCTAATTGTCGTTTGATTTCCTCCTCGTCACAGTTGGACCAGTTGAAGGGAACTGCGGCGACTTCTAACTCAATCAGAGTACCTTTTGATGGCGTTATCCTCTGGATATATATTCCCGTTTCCCTGGCCCTGACAAGCACGCGATCTACAATGTTCACTGCCCTAAAACCGCCAATGATACGATCTTTACCTGACCGACAATTTTTGTGTCCTGCCTCGATGAGTGGCACTCCGTGATCTATAGACGGACTTCTCAGTGACGAGCCCGTCACCTCAAACACTCGACCAAACAGCCTAATACCACCACCTTTATTCCGATCTTCGTCTTCGGCGTGTAAATTCACAGATAGAATTTTCCCCTTTGCAGCCTCGAATATGCTTCCCAGCTCGACTTCAGTGTCCAGTTCTACATCCTTTTCGGAGCTACCAAATTCTGCCATAACGGCTAGGCCAAGCAGGGTCACTGCTGCCCCCCAGAAGCATAGACGTATCCATGTCGCGTTTCGGTCTATTCCGGGTAGTTGGGTCAGCCTACCAGTCCGTGTCGTGCCCAATGCAACCCGTCTTCCTTTTCGTGCCATGAAGCCATTAATCCTTGATGAAGCTTTTTGTAGCACCACAGCAATGAGCACATCGACAAGAATAGCCAAACCAATGAGTCGGATCACGTTCCAAATTGGCGTGCTAAAGGGCAGTATGATTTCCAGGGACATGAGGTGGAGGGAATGGGGAAGGCTTGTCAATGAAGTTTGATTTTTGAATAAGAACGACGATGCACGATAAACGCATCCCTGCTTCTGGTTATTCAATGTAGGCGTCGTGTCCAAGACCCTTGGAGAAGTGGCGTTGTCAAAGAATTCCTCTTTTCAGGTGTTCCTCGACAGTGCTCGGTATTGTTTGGCTAGGGTAGCACTTTTTGAATCAGTACACCTAAAAGTACCCGTAGACCCAGTCATCGAAAAATGCATGAGTTAACTGTACCCTTGGTACCGAACAGCAACGGAGACCCAGTTGTGTTGATGTGCAATACACGGTACAGTAGTGTTGAAGGTACCAGGAAACAATTTGGACTTGCAAGGCATTTGTAAGGTGCCGAAGTTACTGCCTTTTCGTGCGCGTATTGTACTGGTATGGCTTTACAAGCTCTTTTGAGGCATCAGTGTCATGTGCATATTTGACAGTCGTTTCTCTCTACCTCACGTTTCTGGGATTTGAGTGGCACTGATGCGCCTCTCCAGTCTCGTACTGTAGGAAAACCTCGTTACCATTACGGGCCTGAGAGCTCCCTTGTTGGAGTTGTCGAATGTGAACGCCCCCTCTTTATCATGTCAAGGTGGTACAGTGCCTCCTACGATATAGTGCTATAGCGTGACATACCTCTAGCTATGGCACTATTGGGGAGATGGCACTATATAAAGGAGGCTGAATATCTTCATTCTTCAGGCCGGATGATACACGTGTGAGCTTATGATAACCTGTGCCAGAGGGTGAGCCATAGCACTATATAGAGGGAAGCACTACTAAAGTAGGCACTATTGAGCGACCCCCCCCCCCCCTGTACAGTAAAAGGGAGTGCCCCCTGGCCAGGAGACAGGTGGAGAGGGATGTGCTCAGTACGTGTAGTAACGATATCGGACAGAGCTGTAAGGAAAGGAACGTAGGGGAGATCGTAGAAAGGATGAGCGTTAGCGATATCCAACAGCAGTTGCAGACAGTTGATGTTCACTTCAACAAGGTTGAATGACAGTGATGTACAGTGGTCCTTACGCATTAGTGCCGCATTTGTTTGTGCCACCCTCCCAATAGTGCAGCCCCAGACGCCCGAACACGAAAAGCGCCACGTGTCATACGGTTCCGGCTGTTTCGCTACCGTCCGTATGTGTCTGTGGTGCAGGAACGATACCCTTCGTTTACTCTCTGAGGGCCGTGATCCGGCTCCCCCTACACTAAGTACTTCCCGTCGTAGGTGACACGACATCCATGTGTGCTGTGTACTACGTGTGTACGTGTATAGGTATTATCACAGTGTCAAATATGTAAAAGCTACCTCTCGAGAGGTAGTCCGATCCTCTCTTCACCGATCTTAGCTTGTGCCCCTTATGACTCCCGTTCCGGCAATAAAAGAAAAAGCCAAGCGCAAGCACCTGACGATTTCGCAGAAGCTCGAAATCGCAGATCTCCTCCACAATGGACACCGTACACCAGCAGTTATGCGACAGTTCGGCATTGCAGAGCGCACTGTACGCAAAATTAAAGCAACTACGCCATGGATGTTTTGGAGAGGATTCGCGTGGTGCAGAATTCACTCGAAATGCAATCGAGTGATGAAGATGAGAGCGCAGAAAATGCAGTAGAGAGAAAGACTTATACTCCATGTCGTCGGGATCGCCAAATTGTTTGGAGAGCTGCAACTTTTGGCGACTGAGTGCCAAGTTCCAGACGCTCTATCGCCATCATAAGTCGGCAAAGCGCGCATTTCCCACTGCGAAATGCAACAGAGAACCAACGCCGAGCAGGCAGACGTTAATTAGGGTGACCCCACCGCGCCTTGCCCAAAGTCACAAAATGCAGACAACTGTAGTCACGTGATTGGATCTCCTATATTTTAGTCGAGCCACGCTTTGGACGATGTGGTGATTCAGCAGTGAACCCCACCGCGCGTTTAGCATCACACTTCTATAATGTTTTGGGTCACCCTAACTACTACAAGTCCGACATAGAAATAAGTTGTGAGATTGAACGCTCTGTTGAGGGGGCACTTTTATACTACGAACGAGCATACAAGCTCGGAATGGAAAAGTTACGGGGGAACATCTATACATGTTATGCTAATGCCTCTAGCAATGAGAATATTGCGAAAGGCGAGTTGGGATTTCTACAGGCTATGTACATCAAGGGTCATAGGAACGTAGCGAAACGCCTTGCGTATGTGTATTACTATGGCCGTGGGATTCCAGTGTATCCAGCAATTCTCTGTGCTTGTGCGGGGACTATGTCAAGCTCCATAAAGACTCGAGCGGCGACAACATTTGCCCTCTCATCCCTATACCCCTGGACCGCTTCCTATTAAGTTCGTATTAAAAGATTAGGGCTGGCCAAGTCTTCCTCCTCGTCTGTCTTCTGTTCGAATGTGTCATCCGGATGATTATCCAGAGCGCCTGCTTTGACCTTACCCTAGGCCTTTCCCAACCGAATTTCCCCATCGTCTTCAGCACCGTGCAAAATCTCAAAACGGCGGCTCGAAAAGTGAGTGAGAGCTACTTTTTTGGCATGCATCTCTCTTCCAAACTTACCAGCCATTCGAGCAGTGCTGTGCATCGATAACCTCGCTTTCCCTTTCAGACCTTCTGTGAACGTCGAGAGCCGTCGCGTCGAAAGCCGTGCGTCATGCACCAGTCGCATCGAATGAGCTGATCGTCAGTGGTCTCCCCGGCATCCACAAGAAACATGGACGGCCCCTCGCTACCTTCCGCCGCGGCAATCGGCTTCATTACCATAGCCGTTGACGACACGTTTCGCGTCCTGGTCGGAACCGCAGATGACGTGCCCAGATGAACCACTCCCCAACCACCTGGCTTCATGTTCAGGTCCTTGCGCCGATGCGCAGCCATATCTATTGGCGGGAGATCTGGCATCGTAAAATCCATAGACACGCCCTCGTCATCCATTCCATCCTCCTCCTCCCCCGCATCCACCTGCGTTTCCGTCGGTACAAGCGTGGTATGCATCTCCCCCTCGACCGCCTCCCCTACAAAAAGAAGGATCACTCTCAGGACTGGGGCTTCTCGACCTCATGTCCTCTTCCTCGGACGTCGGCACCCACATTTCCCTGTCATGGTCGTCCTGCACAGCGGCCGCATACGTCACGGCCTTCCCGTGGCGATCCAGCGGCTGCGTCGGGGGCTTGAGGTCTTCCTGTTTGTGGCACGATTTGGCGCGAAACGTGACCTCTCTTCCGCGGAAGTCCAGCCAGTACGCGTCGCGGTCATGGCGCCAACCGTCGAAGCTGGACACTTCGGAAGGTGTGGGCGCCAAGGGCGGGATGCATGGAATTTGAGAATGTGCTCGCGCAGCATGCGTTCGCGCTCGCGGCGCTCGGAGCGGGATAGGGCGGTGCAAATTCAGCGGCAGGCTCGATGGGGGGCTTTGGCGGGGGATCGGTCGCGGCGAGACGGAAAGCGACGGCCGGGCCAGAGAGGTTTGGAAGCCGGAGGCGGCGTGCGTCCGATATTGCGGTGGCGTGCATCCCCGGGGCGCGACTGATTGGGGCAGTGGGGCTGAGGGGGCGTCGGAGAGGGAGAGAGTGGCGAGCCCGTTTGCGGGGACGTGTGGCGCGGTAGCGGCGGAAGAGGCTACGCCGGGCGGGAGCGGGCGCATCGGACGTGGGTACAGTTGGTGTGAGGAGGCTGTTTCTGTTGTTTTCGTGGTTGGCGGCGGCGATAGGGGGCGTAGACAGCGGCGTGAGGGTGCTGATGGTTTGCAACAGATGTCTTGTTGGCGCGAAAGCTTACCATTGCCATGTTGGGAAGGTTCTGTTTTGGGGAACGTGCAGATGAGTTTCTTCGGTAGCTCGCTGTTCGGACCTAATGAAGGGGGGAAGTTGGCGGAGAGTTGCGGGTGATATTCTACCCAACGCGCCCCTCGCTACCTACTTCTCTGCCTGCACCGCCCAGCTCGCCGATTCTGCTCTGGCCGCCACTGTTGACGCCGCCGCTACAGACGCCGCCGCTACAGACACCACCTCCAATGACATCCAGCAGCACACTCCTCCTGCGTCCGTGTACCCTCTCGCAGCCACACACCCCCCTCCTCTTGGCGACCTGGCCCCGCCTCAAGAGTCTCCACCCGTCCTCACTCCGCCCCAGGAGGTAAACTCAGTCAGCCCCCCGGACGAGATGGCGCCCGCACCGTTACCTTCCTCTACTGTACGTGCGGATGGCCACAATCCCGCTTTATCCCCCAAGGCTGCGGAGACACTCCACAAACGCGCCCCTAACGTAAACTCTCATCCCTCCGCGCCTCCCTCCCATCACCTACCCCCCTCTCTGCGATGCGTCTGTGTGGTACAAGTTTGGGGTAGACTCGCTGTGCCTGAAAGCATACGGACATTCACGAATAGCAACACTTATAGTACCCGAAACCGGTACGAGCTGCTGAACAGTTTGTGCTAAGCAGTCGTGTTAAACGCGACCACCCGATATCCTTCACCGGGCGTACCTCATTCCCGTCGAGCATCTGGATTACCTCCATCGCCAGCCGGACCCCAGCGCGGCATCTGCGCCATCGGCTCTTCTTCAACAGCACTCATGCTGACAAAAGCCAGGTCACCACCCATTCTGTCACCAGCTCCCCCCTGCTCCGAACAGGTACACACGGTCGTGCGCGTTCGTGTGCCCCGCCTTTGCGCCGCGCTTGAGCGTGCCAGAGCAAGAAAAGTCCA